TCTAAGAGTGATCGGTTACAGGGTAAGTTAGTTCCCATCCAGGAATCGGAAACTGAATTGGACAAGGTCGGTTCCCAGTATATGGAACCATGAATCGACTGTGGCCACCATGGAACCGGACTAGCCGGTCTCGGTCCGGTTCTCGGGTTGTCCCTAGAACCGGCGAACCGGCGGTGTTTTTTTGTCAAAAATGTTTTATTTTCTTTGTCAAAAGTTCCTAAATATATTGAAAGTTATTTTAGTGTAGGATGAAATTACTATCATAGGGATGTCACTTGTAAAATAAGAGATTATTCCCAAAATAATTTATACTTTTTGCCTTTGCTGAATAAAAAAACTAATATACTTTGTGTCGATTCCGCTGAATCGGTCTATTTTCTCCCAAGGAACCAGGAATAGGACTGATTTTTGCAAGAAGCACCTAAAACTGGCTGATTCGGTCCGGTCTAGTCTGGTTCTTGGATTGGATCGGGACTGATTCATTTGGGGGATCAAAAGTGTGGGTTGTTTGAAGAAGTTAGCTAAAAGCCCAATGAGAAGGGAACCAAGTTGCCCTAAGTTTGTGGTTCACCTGTAAACGAGTTACTAAACAGTTTGTCTATAGTAAATCTTGTGCTTTAAGACATCGTGTAAGATATATAAAACTGGACGTCACGATTTGGACATTCATCCATATCCATAAGATTAATGATTATACTATAGTCAACTTTGTATTCTTTTGCTCAAAACAAAGCTCGTAGCTTAGAAAACCTTGTGAAGTTTTGATGGGTCGTCATCAAGAATGCGTTCATGCCCAACCCCACTATAGGTCACGCTCTCATGAAAAAGGATGTTGTCCCAGACAAATGCATGTGAGTGGTTCCGGTGAATCCCAATGCCTGGAATACATATCCTAAATTATCGTATATGTTGATTATGGATTTCAAATTTAAGATTAACGTTGGCGTCTCTATATCTAATACATACCTAGGCTCCACCTATATTATTAATTGAACGATTACAGTGTATCATCACCTTTAATGGCCACGACTTGCTGCTACAATCCATTGACCACATCTTATATTTAGACACACGAAAAATATGAAACATCAATAAAGTAAAAGTCCCAATCATAAAATGGAAGTTTAGACTAGTAGTTCCGGATTATACACTCATCATCAGACGCCATGGAATATCATAGGATCACGCAAAGACATAGATCAAGAAAAGTACAAAAACTTGTTAAGTTCTAGGTTTCTGGAGCCTTCTCGTCAAAACAAGTTTTCCAATTTTTGGAATCTAAAACTTACCCTGCATATTTTGAAATCTGGAACTTGACAAGTTCCAACTGGTCCTGTTTTCTGGAACTTAGAACCATGCTTATCCCTAGTATTTTACGTCGATTGAGTGAATATTTTGCTGTCACTCATAAAAAAAATTTCCCCAAATTAATGCCCAAGAGCGGGATGAAGTTCTCCTTAAAAAAAGCAGCTCCTTATTGCCTTTGCAATTGATATGCTTCCTCCAAACTCAGTGTTACGACCGGTGATTTGAAAATACTAGGAAAGAGCTCAAATAAAATCATCTTATTCTTGATCAGTGGATTAAGCTTATCACACTATTAAAAACATGTGTGGCCAGCCAGCCAGCCACTGACTTTACCTAGAGTTTTGTGTAGTCTATATCATTCCTCAAATTACTCTACGACCCACTATCTATGTCCTAATTAATCCCAAAAGACATTCCCATTTTCGTAAGAAGTACGTAGAGAGATAGAAGAAGGGCCAAGCAAATAATTCAAACCTCAATCATCGATTTGAAAAACCTAACGTAAGGTTAAAGCTAAAACCATGGCGAGGACATAATTGAAAAAAAGCTCATGATCATCGTATGTCTTTTGCGGAGAGCTGGTCTGCTTTGAATGCCGAAACAAGCCAAGATAATCTTCAAGATTCCTCCCTACCCGATCGGCGATCTCTTACTAAGCCCGCCGAATCCCTCGCATTTGATCTTGATCCCATTTTAATATAAGTGGAAACCAGGAAGAAAGGGTTGGTACCAAAGAACGGATTATTGTATAGAATGACGAGTTAGTACGATAAAAACAAACCCCACGAAATTATGAACGTGACCTAGCAATCCTATCCACTCAATTCAAACATCAAGGACACACGCAATTCCATCGTGATTTATATGCTAATCTATGGTCGGTGCATTATGTGGACCAAACTCGCTCTCTTGCTCCTATCACCATCTCTTCTTTAGTATTCTTTTCCTTTTTTTTTCTCTTTAAACTTTTCCCTCTTCACTCACGACCCCATCAACGTTTTTGTGCCAAGTGTTTGGCCGGTCACATGGGAGAATCATTGATGAGCTTCGCGACAGTTCCATAAAAGCATGTCGAGGACAGCGAGGATAATGTGCATAGCAATATTCAAGCCGAAAATATAAAAAAATGAAAAGAGAAAAATGAGTGTGGGCTGAAATTTGGATATGCATGGACATGTACGTATGGGCATATTCCCTTTATCCACTTATTATACGCTATTCAAAAGCATAGGATTATGCAGAAACTCGTACTCCACTCATTAAAGCTTGTTTTATGCTCATTAATACACCATATGTGCTCAACGTGGTATATATATGTGGCCTGGAGAATGACTTTTTTGTGATATCTGAGGCAATCAGCTTTCACCTCCTTCCTTTCTTGTTCATCTCACTCTCTCTTCTTTGATCTAGCTCTCTCTTCACACTAGTAGGAAATATGGCAGGGATTGCTTTTGGACGCTTCGATGATTCGTTCAGCTTAGGCTCCATCAAGGCCTACTTGGCGGAGTTCATCTCCACCTTGCTCTTTGTGTTTGCTGGTGTTGGCTCAGCCATTGCTTATGGTCAGTCACACTTGACCTTCTTCCAAAAGCTTTACTAACCCTCGTTTCTTCCATTTAAAGTTCCTTTTCTTACTTGGACTTGAAACGCCAAATTTAGCTATGGCAATTACAAGGACAAGATACCCTAAAGAGAAAACGACCCAGTTGGAAAAACATTAAAAAAAGATGTGCACAACAAGCAAGTGACCTTCTGGTTTTTTCTTGTTCTTGAGTTGAAAATAACATGTTGTGTTTTGGATTCTGTTGCTACAGGTAAGTTGACATCAGATGCTGCTCTTGATCCATCTGGGCTCGTGGCGATAGCAGTTTGCCATGGGTTTGCACTCTTTGTTGCAGTGGCAGTGGGTGCAAATATCTCTGGTGGCCATGTCAATCCGGCGGTCACTTTCGGACTGGCTCTGGGTGGCCAGATCACCATCCTCACCGGCATCTTCTACTGGATTGCCCAGCTTGTTGGCTCCATTGTTGCTTGCTTCCTCCTCAAAGTCGTCACTGGAGGACTGGTAATTATGACGTCTGATCTTGGAGTTTTTTTCCCAAGTTCTGATCATATATATATTTCACTACGATATAGTTTGGACTTGTAAAATTAACCTAATGAAAGTGCATTTAACAGGTTGTGTCGGGAACAATATCCCTAAACTAGGCAGAGTCTTATTAATTTTGAGATTATTGGGTTTGATAACTTATTCACATGTCATATTAAATAAATTATCTCGTGTTGTATAGTTTTCTTTTTTTCATGTTTATATTTGTGTGCTTTATGAGGGAGTTCTTCTCGGAACCAATAATCATGAAAGCAGATTGTGCAAGCAGACTTGCTTGTACCGTTTCTTTCTTTAAGATGAACTTTCACTGTTCTCTGTAAAGCCAAAAATGTACCCTTTATAGGACAGAGCAAGCCTATGATTCATATTCGGTTTAATTAATTTGTTTTTCTACACTTGCTTTAAATTATTTTGCAGGCAGTCCCTGTTCACAGTCTTGCAGCTGGAGTTGGAGCAATCGAAGGGGTGGTCATGGAGATCATAATCACCTTTGCATTGGTCTACACTGTCTATGCCACAGCAGCTGACCCAAAGAAGGGCTCACTGGGAATAATCGCCCCCCTTGCGATTGGCTTCATCGTCGGCGCCAACATCTTGGCCGCCGGCCCGTTCTCCGGCGGTTCCATGAACCCGGCCCGTTCCTTTGGGCCTGCTGTGGTTAGTGGAGACTTCCACGACAACTGGATCTACTGGGTCGGGCCCCTCATCGGAGGTGGCCTGGCGGGGCTCATCTACGGAAACGTGTTCATGCACTCGGACCACGCACCTCTTACCAATGAGTTCTAAGTTAATCAAACCATGTGTGTGCTCACAATCCTTTTGTTCTTGCAATAAAAGAGAGAGGAGCAGATTCTGCTGCTCTTTCTTTTCTTTTCTTTTCTTTTCTTTCTTTGTATTCAGTTTTTCTCTGATTTTGTTGTTGTAAAGCCTTGTGTGGTGGTCCATTGTGTTATCAAGAAAATGAATGAAGTTGGTGAGTCGTTGAAAAAATGTGCTTCTTTTTGTGACTTGCTTTTTGATTTCCTTTTGCTTGTGATAATGGTGGGTGAGCCCATCTGGGAGATAATGGCTTCACATGGTTTGGACGCATGCTAATTATTGATGGAGTGGACAGCTTTTTGCATCTAGGATGCTCCTAGTCTCTTGCTATGTGACCTTTTTTTTTCCCTTTGCCATTCTCACCGAAAATGCCATTATGAGATACTAGGACGATTCTTTACCTTGGAGTGAACATTGATCCACTAGAAGTAAAAATGGAGGAGCATCTGTCCTGATAATACAAGATGTAGTTTGGTCATACTTGGTGAAGATTTTATCAGATCATTATTCATCTCACTTGTCCTACAACAGTAAAGACATAAATGGCAGGACAATTAAGCTTATACAAGATTGTCCTATTCGCACTTCCCCTTGTTAGTTCACACATTGGAGAAGCGAATATGTCTTAGTTGAACATTTCGTTAATCCCCTTTATTCGGGGAAGAAGTTCTGCTGATTAGATTAACTAGTTTCCAGATTATGTACGACGTATAATCAAAATCGTCACCTTTTCTTTTTACCCATTGCTGATAAACCTTTAACAGACTTGTGAACCCAAATCATATAAACTGCAACAGAAAATTCATTTTAATACAATAGATTGTGAGGAACTATCTGATAGTCTTATAAAAAAAAGAATCGAGCCTGTCCATTCACAATGCCATACATACAAAATGTGTATCATAAAGACTACGAAGGCAACACTTTCTCATATTTCCATTCATGAGCCTTCCACTCAGGCAATTGTTGTATGACGACCTACAAGAGATAGAAAGAGGACCAAATTTGTTCATATGGAGATCTGGGAAAAGAGTAGTTAATAAGACAGTGAAACTTTCGAAAGTCTCTAATTGTTGAAATATAAGGAAAGACATGTTTACCAGCCCTCTAGAATCTGGTTTACCAACTGTTGTTTGACATGCAAGCCTATAATTTTTCGGCTTCTGCAGAAAATCCATGACATTAAGCATCAGAACAACGATCAAATCAGAAAATTCATCTGATAATTACATTTAATCCACCAAAACAAGACAGACAACTCATAGTCTCTTAAGAATTCATGGATGCTTCTCTCTAGCCTCATTGAACAGGACGTAACACTTGAAATAAAGTCTCATTAAGCATAGAAATAGTTGCTACTCCTAGTACATAAGTTGGAAAAACAATGAAGAACGAGGGAGATGCTTATTGCATTTTTGGATTCATGTTCATTAGAGGCTCAAAAGCTGGAATTCCTGCGATTTGTGATTTGAGCACTACAGCTGGTGCCATGTAGCCACAATGAATTAGTTGATGCAGATTGTAAATGCTGCTTTAGCAAGTTGCTTATCTAAACTATCGGAACACATACTGCTTACCTTTTTAAGTTTTTCCTTCTCTTTGTCCGTGAGAGGGTTCAGTAGCTCTTTTCCTTGAACAACCTAACATGAGAACCCAAAATTCATCGTCAAGAATTCTGTTTCCTCATCACCTTAAATGAGTCACTTGAATCGTGCGAAACGGGCACATATCCATTAGGCTTTTGTTGATCTAATTTTGAAAGTAAGCACCGTTAGGCAGGTGACGATTGCAGAGAACTAGTTCACTTCCTCAAACTCCATCTCACCAAGGAGACTAATTGAATGGGAAGCTAGGCCAAACAATTTATGGATTAGTTAACATTAGGACCAGATCCAAGCATCTACAAGGCATTACAGCACGAAATGTATTAGTATTGATATTTCATTCGACCCTGTTTGGTTTTTACTTCTTATAGTTCACTAGTCTATACAATCAAGTAACTTTCTGTGAGCAAACTCCAACCCATAAAACTGTTTTCAGAAACCATAACCTGAGAATAAAAGTGCGAAGAAAAAGCTGACCTCAACCATACAAGTTGCACAAGTCCCTCCCCCAGCACAATTCAACAAAGGTCTAGCCTGAAGATCATCACAGAACACCCACATCAGATCAGTCCAGAGACGAACACAAAAAAAAAAGCTGGAACGTCTGCCAGAAATGATTCAGTCATGCTTACATAGGGACCATACAACTCAATGTTGGAATCCAACATGATGTCCCTCAGTTTTTGCCCGCCACACGCCGTGCGGAGATGAACGTCCGGAGTCCCATCCGGAAGCAAAACCGACTGACAAAGTTCGCACCGGAATACATTCAACCTCAAACGGCCAATCTCAAGTTCTCAACTTTAACAAAATAAATCACCTCAGAAAATGTGGGTCTTTCCAATTTCCTTTTTCCTTTTGGGAACTTACACTGACAAATGCAAAGTTCACGTGCGGCGGCTCCTCCGGAGCTGCAGCTTCAGAGTCGCTCTCGGGGACGGTTCCAACTGCTCTGATCCTGCTGCTTCTTGAGAAGCTCGTTTGGCTCCTGAAAGGTGTGAGGTGGCCTCGGGGAGTGCGCGAGCGATGGTTGAAGCTGGGAGTGAGTGACAAAGAAGCTAAACGGGATGAGCTCAATTGGACACTGCCCATTTCCTGAAGAAGAACGAAGGCATTCTCCCATTGTTCAGGGTCTTGCTTGATATTTGCGTGGAGATTGGTTTTGGGTTTTGTGGTGACGATACTTCTTGGCCTTATCCAATGCAAGAAACCTGGGGATACGAGGAAATAACAATCTGGTTTCTACATTTGACCCCGACTATGTTCTAGTTAAAGTTTTACTGGTCAATGGTAGAATTAGGCATACAAACACAACAAAATAGAAAGTAAAAAGGTTTCAAAGAGAAATCGAAACACCGATTTACTCTTAAGTTAAGGTTACATCCAACAAATTTTATTATAATTAGCACATCCAACCTCTCTCTGTTACAACACTTAATTATAATAGAAAGAGATTATATATACTCAGTAACTATTTATGAGCATAAGCCCACACTACCAGTAAGATACGGGCCCAAATTATAAGAGTCCTCTGACGTCGTAAACCCCTGTAATGGTTTCTCCATTGGTATCGTGGTGGAGTTTACGACGACGGGCTCGTCCATCTAACAATTGGTACTTTGTTAGTGCCTTAGTCAAAACATTCCTATAATAGGTGAGATGGCTTGTAAGCCAACTCTTTATCTTTTTGGTAATCGAGGTGTCCAGAGCCGAACTTCTGTACCTCAACTATTCCTTGGGGAGACTAAGACAAAGAACCCACCACCATGGCCCCCATTTAAATCACAAGTGCTCAACTGGGGAATCGAACCTGGGACCAGTGCGCCTAACCACACAATCTCAAGTACGCCCCTCTTTATCTTTTTGTGCCCGTAAAAGAGTTAAAAAAGTTTTACAATCTGAATTTCGACTCCATTTAAATGCTCGAAACTCGAAAGGTATTTTAACAGCTTTTGAGCTCCAGCAATTCGAGATTCAAGAAGTTTGAGTTTGACTATTATTTTCATCGGTTCTAGCTTGATTTGTTAGATACATAACCGAGGTCCTTACTTCACTACCCCCGTGGATAAGTTTGTTAAAATGAACAATATTCGGCTTCGATCAAGACGGAATTATCTAACTTCAACTTTTGCCAACAAACTACTAACATTTTAATTGAGGAGAATCACGTATCTTAAAAGACTAACTTCATTTATAAAAATTCAATAGAAATGTAAATGTTTTAATTCATGCAATCAACTCCTGGACTTTTTACTTAAGATTATAATCGAGTATCAAATCATATTGAAAAAATTGCAACTTCAGGCCTCATGTAGGCGACTTTCGAATGTCATATAAGTAATTTTTTAGATATGTTATTAACTGTGTTGTTTTTTTTTTTTTATAAAGGGGTAGGATTTGATTGTAATTCCTTTTCCTATATTTTATCGTAAGAACTTATTTGGACTAAGTACAAAGCACACGCCATATTGTCTTAACTTCCAAGTATTATTTAGGCGTGTGAATTTTGAGTCCCCAGCAATCAATTACAGCCTTAGCTGGGGACTTGGAGTAAAAAATATTTGTCAAAATAAAAATCTTATAAAATCGCATCAATTTATCAGGAAATGATGCGTCTTGCTATTTTATTCTTTGACCCGGACCGGTCTGGTCAGTGGGTTCATCCGGTTAGGTCTAGGCTTATCGGTGAAAAAAATGACATAAATAGTCTCTGAATTTTGTCCCAACATGCAATGTGATCCATAAACTTTAGCCCAATATGTAATTTGATATCTAAACTTTTAATTTGTTCAATATGAATCATAAACTTTTGGTACATGTTCAAACTAGTCCTGGGCTATATGGAAATGTTTGATGATATTTTTTCATTTAATTTAAGAAAAATATTGAACAACGCTTAATTTGAATATATATCAAAGTTCAGGGACCGTATTATATATTGAGCTAAAATTTAAGGATCACGTTCAAAAAAAATGAAAAGTTCATAAATCACGTTCCACGGTTATCAAAGGTCATGGAACATTTCTGTCCTGCTCCCCTTCTAGGTTGATCCCCGGACCGGGGCCCGCACGTTGGACCGGTTCCCGCTAACGTGCGCGCGGGCGGTCGTGGCCGGTTCGGGATTTCCCAGCTCCAAACGTGGTCCCCACGCGTCGGCGACTCACTGCGCTCACCACCCACCTGTTCTTCCTCCTCCTCCTCTTCTTGTTCTTCCTCTTCTGCATCTTCTTCCGTCTCTCGCCGCGCCTAGCAATCGCGTCGGCTCTCCCTCCCTCGATGATTCGCATGGAATTCTCGATTCGATTCCGCTCGAATCGAATCAATGCGCTTCGCCGTTGATCCCAATCGAGCGCCCGAGCCTTCCCGCGAGATCGGATTTCACCGATCGGCCGGCGCCGGCGGAGGAATTTCGTTCATCTGATTCGGCGTGAATTCGTGTGCGCGTGTTTTTTTCGTTGGACCTTGTTCCCCTTTTTCATTTGGTTGTGGGGGGGGGGAGGGAGGGAGGGATTGAGCGGAGATGGATTCGAGCAGGAGAGCGGTGGAGTCGTACTGGAGATCGCGGATGGTCGACGCCGCGACCTCCGACGAGGACAAGGTCGCGCCCGTCTACAAGCTCGAGGAGATCTGCGAGCTCCTGCGCTCCTCTCACGTCGGCATCGTCAAGGAGGTCTCGGAGTTCGTGCTGAAGCGGCTCGACCATAAGAGCCCCGTCGTCAAGCAGAAGGTAGGTAAAATGGAGTGGGCGGTGCTTTTCCTGATTGGTTCGCTTCGGTTCTGTTTTCGCGTTTTGCGTGTGCGGAGCTGATCGTGCGCCCGATTAGTCCTGCTGAATCAATGAGAGCCTGAATCTTGAAGGAACCTGTGAAAAAATTGGTTGAAATGGATCATCTTGGGGAAGTGAATTAGACACAAGCGTGTAAAGAATTGAATACTGGATCTCCTGATTTTAGTTCTGTGATACTGAAAAACTGCTAACGTAACGGATTGTCGCGGCATCTTGAGCTGTCCGAAGATTACACTATACATATATCTTAAAATTATGAAGGTGGGTCAGCTCAAGAGAGTAGGCAGCATCTACCTTTTGAATGCTCTCTTTTCTAAACAAGTCTGGGGGTGGAGTTCTGAACTGAAGTGGAATTCAGAGAGTTGTGGGTGGTTGGAGCTTTTAGTTTGATTGGGTTTCGCAACAGTTGAAAGGTAAAAGCATTCGTGAGGACGCTCTTGAAATTGGCCTGGAAAGGATCGATTGACGTCATTTGGAAAGAGAGGAATGATGTTCTCCATAATGGGGTAATTCCAAAACATCATGTTTGCAGTTTGAGTGGGGATGTAGATTACTGATACATGGAAGGGGGCCTCTGTTTGATCCAGACAGACTACTTCTTTGTGAGCAGCGGAGGATTTCTGCTGTTGAGTACCTGAGTTGAGCCATCGGTTTGCTTATTTATTAGCTTCTCGGGATATGTTTTTCCAAGCTTGTTTGATGGGGAAATGTTTACTAGTTGGTTCTCCTGGTTTGAGTGATGTTCTTGCTGTGAGTATGATAGTGCTCCTGAGGGGCATGTAATGGGTGTGGTCCTCCCACGGTCGTTTTGAAATCTCGAGCAAAAAAAAAAAAAGATCGTGAAGGTGTGGATAAATATGAGAACAAAGGGAATTTCTTGTGTTGAATCTTTTGACTGACCGTGAGAGTGCTAGATTATCGAACACAACGAATTGCAATCAGGATGTTCATTTTTCAGTATGAGTTTATGGGGTGTGCCTAGAAGTAAGGAGAAGAGGTTTTACCTCTTGCAGGTTGTGTGTACTGTCAAGCCCCTATGCTGGAGCACAGTCAGCTGATCCAGTTCTGTTTTCACGCTGTGTTGATCCTGAAATGTCTATAACTAACTCACAAAAATCAGAACTAGGTTAACAATAAATGAGACCGACAACATCTGCATGGCACCCCATTCTTTCTCATTATGCATGTCTCTTGTGCAGGTTAATATCGGAAAGAACTTGTCTGTCTGCAGCTTTGTGTATATATTGTGATTCAATTTGGAGCTGTTTCATTTCTTTTCCTAGTCCAACATACTTGGTGAGGTGATTAGTCATCTAAACCACCTTCAGATATTCAAGAGCGAATATTTGTGACTTCTGTGCATCCTGGACCAAGCTGAATATCTCTTCTGTCTCTCGTATCTCTAATAAACTATGAATAGCGCATAGGAAGTTTTAACTTGGACATGGATGAATAACCAGTTGAATGGCTTCTGCAGGCTCTTAGGTTAATCAAATACGCGGTTGGAAAATCTGGTTTGGAGTTTCGCAGGGAGATGCAAAGAAATTCTGTTGCAGTTCGACAATTATTACATTACAAGGGGCATCCAGATCCTCTTAAGGGGGATGCTCTGAATAAGGCTGTAAGGGACACAGCTCATGAGGCAATTTCTGCCATTTTCTCTGAACAGGACAATAAAGCAGCTCCCACTGAGGATCTTAATACAAGAATTCAAGGATTTGGAAACACTAATTTTGAAATGCCATCAGAAGATAAGAAATCGTTTCTAATTGAGGTAATTGGGCTTGGAAGTGCATCCATCAAGCAAGGACTCAATAGTTTCACTCCGGGGCAGTCATTTAGAAAGAATGAAAATGGCAGTTATACAGGTCCAAATCTTCGGAGATCTTTGACAATAGAAAATGATAACATGAATGATTATGAACCAGTTGAAATAGGCAATGAAGCTCGGTTGGGGATCTCAACAAAACAGGCGAGTGGTTCCTGGAATCCAGATATGAGAATGGCAAATACAGAAGGCACCAATGGAAATTCCGCTTCCAGTCATACCGAGAGCAAGACTCGTGAAGAGCGGTTGTTGGAAACTATCGTAACATCTGGTGGTGTTCGTCTACAACCCACACGAGATGCCATTCATGTTTTCCTTGTGGAGGCAGCAAAATTGGATCCGGTGGCCTTAAGCCGGGCCCTTGAAAGAAAGTTTCAGTCTCCTCAATGGCAGGTATTCATTTTGGAATAATATTTTCAATTCGTTGAGGCAGTAAGAATTAGAGATGTAGAAAACCACTGATGGCCACAGTGAAAATAATAATTTCCCATGGTTGTAATCTCGAAACAGCCAGCTAGAAGAAAATCGGTTAAAAAATACCTGAATACTGGATGACCTGAAAGTGCATGGGTCCGGTCGGGTCTAGGCTTGAGTCCAGTGCATCCATGGATCTCTCATTATCAGGCTATCAGTTAATCTTCTTATCTTCATGAAATAAGGTCGAGGATGTTGAAACATGGGTGTGGCCCATGAGAGCTGTTCAACAGGCTTTAAGACATGAGCAACGAAAAATACCACTCAGCTATAAGGCTCAGTTTGTTTTACGGAAAATGAATGATTTGGACTCCTAAAATTAATCACTTATATCACTTGAAATAATTAATCAATAAAAAATGTTTTCATTTTCAACAACAATTTATGTCTAAACATTTTTGTGGACAATGAAAATATTTTTTGTTCATTCTTTTTTACAAGCGATAATTTTTAGAAAAATATTTTCCAAATCATTCATTTTCCACGAAACAAACACACTCTAAACGATAGTTCTTTTTCCAGCATGTAATTGGCCTTTTTTTTCCATCTGGCTGCCAAAAAGACATTTTTATTTCATCATAAATATATTTCATGTATTAGTTGTTTTTCAGGTTCGTGTGAGAGCTGTCTGTGTATTGGACTCCATTGTGAGGAGAAAGGACAATGAACCCTTCTCGATTGTGGCTTCTTATTTCAGTGAAAACAAAGAACTTTTGATTAGTTGTTCTTCATCTCCGCAAGCTTCTTTGAGGGAAAAGGCTAACAAGGTACCCATCCTTCTACCAATTTGAGATCTTCTGTAGTTTATTTCCATCTCTGTGGTGTTGAGTGATAGGAAGGGAAAAAGTGATCGTTTACTTGTGGTGTCATCATGAGCATTGTGGTCAATCTATTTGGCACGAAAATCTTTATCAGGGGTCATATGTGTTGGAACTGGAGCTCCATAGTGTGAGATGAGAGCCAGTGGACAATGTAGACTCCATATATTTTAGTTGTATATAAACCTCTTGAGCGAATTGTGAGGGTGAAGTGATGCTTCTTTTAGTTAGTTCAATGAAGATAATATATCTTCACATAATGATTTGAAAGCTCAACATGCATCAGGAGTGCTTCTTCTCCTTTGGTTTTATCATGACTATCTATCTCTTTTGGATGATGGAAAAATGTCAAACGCCGCTTATTTTTTTATGACTATGATCCTAAGAGAAGAGACTGAACCACTAGTCTCACCATCACTACCTTTTACTGTTTCATTCCATATGGGATGAATTCTGGTTCTTTTCTAATGTTTTTTCCGATATTGGTTTTTCATAATATTGGTCAAGTTACTTTGCAGACTCAAAGATATATGAGGTAGCATACATCCTTCTTACATCTTAGATTCTGGCAACTTCCTTTGCCACCTTGTATATGTTTAGCCCAAAAACTTCTACAGTATGAGATTGATTGCTTGGCATGTTCGATGAAACCGTCTATTTACGTGTTGGTATGCATAAATTAGAGAATAGCGGAGTATATATTGGCGCTGTGGCTTTTGTTCACTCATGCACTATTGAAAGGATGCATTTATATAGTTTCAACCTGGTATGGAAAAAGAACTATAATTAGGGATGTACAATTTCATTTTCCATAGGTCTGATCATGCTTCCATTAAATCATAGAATTTGAGAATACCTTATCATGCTTCCATTATATCATAGAATTTGAGAATACCTCTCGTTTTTGGTTGCTCTTTGTAGATTGCTACCCTGATGGTAAATACCTAGTTATCTGGGAAAGGAATCCCTTTTCTCCATCTGATTTGGAACTGTCAAATACCTCAAGGCATTAATTTCATGCTTATTCATCTCAAGTCATAGATAGTTTATTTCATCCATCCTCTTTTTCAATGTGAAAGAACCAGATTCTTTGATGGTTTCTGTAACTCTGTACTGTGAAGTGTGTTTTAATTGATAAGGCTCTGTTGAATGAGTGGTAAGATCTTGATGTATATTGTATGCTTGCGCTGTTGTAAACAGGTCCTTAGCTTTTTGGATGGAGAACAGGCCGGTACTCTGGCAGTTGATTCAGGTAGGTCAGTGAAGGCTGAGACTGCTGCTACAGTTCAGATGCCTGATCTGATAGATACCGGTGACTCCGATTACATCATTGGAACAAATGATTCAACACATACGCAAGGTGCTAATAGCACTGGAAGCTTGACGAAAGAGGCAACCCCTTCCATTTATGATTTGCTTGGAGATAATGTTGGGTCTGGTGTCAGCACCGGTGAAGAAAGAAATGATGATGATCCCTTTGCTGACGTCTCTTTTCATAGTGGCCAAGGTCAAGACTCTACTGATGATATCTTTAAGGGGATGACTATTGATGATAAGCATGGTGCTAATCAAAACCATGTAACAATCACTGAAAGTGGGCCTGAATTTTTTGATATTTTTGGGTCTTCTGACATATCTTCAGAGCAGGTAATTCAGAGAAATGATGTCAATGATTTAATGGCTGGCTTGTCTGTAAATGGGAGTGAGGTGAAAGGAACTCCTGCAACACTATCTGAAGCCGTATTGTCAGATTCAAAAAGCAATCCTGGCTATCAGGTCTCTAATGATACGTTGAACAGAATGGTTGGATCTCAAATGACTGGCATGAGTCCCAATGCCATGCCTCTCTCTAGCAGCCTGCCATTTAGTGTACCTCCTGGGATGATGTTTAATCCTGCTTTTCCATCACAACCTATAAATTATGTTGCGATGGGGAATTTTCTTGTTCAGCAGCAAATTCTAGCAACCATGTCTAACTTCCAACTTAATGGGAATATGAATGCTCAGAGTGTCAGCACCAGTCATGTTACCGGAACTAATGGCAGTCATTCATCACCCTTCCCTGATGTTTTCCAGGCAAATTCTCCCACTCAGACTCCTAATTTGATGGGGAGCAACTTGAAGAAAGAGGAGACCAAAGCATTTGATTTTATCTCGGTAAGTCTTTTTTCTCGTATGATCTGCTTGATAATCAATGTCATTGACTAGCTGCTTACTTTGACCTTGAAATGTCTGAGTGAGAGGAAATTGTATACTTGTTGAAGTCATATTTTGGATAGTGAAGGTGGATTCTTAGTAGGCCTGGTGGTTTATTCTCTGGTTAAGATTATTGTGATACAAAATCTTCCCCAAGTTTTTGTTTTTGTTTTTGTTTTTTATAATTTGGGATAGGTTCCCCAAGTAAATTTTAGTCGAGTTGCTTTGACTTATTCTATTCATGCTAGAGATTTCAAATAAGGGATAAGTTTTTGGATGTTCACGTGCTTGTGTCTTCTCTTGCAGGATCATCTTGCTGCAGCTCGTGATTCAAAAAGGATAGTTTAAGTATTTTGAGCATAACGTTTATTAGAAAGCACTTGCCAATACATCAAAATTGCCTTGTTAAGTTTGGGAAGGTGACCGAAGCAAACTATCTATTGATAGAGATGATCATACATCCCTTTCGTTGGAATACCATGAACGTGCACGGCAGGTGTGACTTGGCGACGGATTTGAATGGAAGTCACAAGCAGAATGACCACTGAGGAGTTCTTTCAAATAGCTGGCATAGTTTGTAATGTAAAGTTGCGGTTGTATATGTAGATTCTTCAACTTGAAAGGCGTGGGTCATCTGTTGCAATTATTGACTTGCGAAGGTCGTAATGCGTTTTCGGTACATCAATGAGCAAGCACAAATTGTCTGTGCTGTGCCGGCGGATCACCCACTTGTGAATTTGAGACGGTCTCTCTTGTACCATTACATTTCTCTGCGTCAAACCAAGAGCGGGTCCTCTCTGGAGTCATTGGTTGGGCTTCGTTCTCTCTTTTCTCAACTTTGTTGTATTCATTTCCTAGTAAGTTGCATGCCTACCTGATGAAAGATTCATGTTCTTCATCGTCTTATGCCACTGGATATGCAAAAGCACGATGCAGAAGGAGACATTCTAACCAAAAAAATTGGTCACAACACTGGTCTGGTACAGCATAAAATCATTGCTACTGTGTGGGCTTTTGGATGCATTGATGCATTGTAGATGTCATGAAATAAGAGATCATATAACTCCCCGTGGAAGTAGCATAAGCTTTTGATGAATCGATTCTATGCCTGTACATTATTTCAGATTATTCCTGTTTTATATGTGGTATATACAGCATTTGCGCAGCGGCGTGGTTCATGCAGAAAGTCGCATCCTATGTTATTTTGAAGGAAGAGTCTTCGAGGTTGCTCCACAGACGGACTTCCATCTGCTTAGTCCTATATAATTGCTTGACGATGTCCTGACGTTCTTTCGAATAGGGAGAAGGGATCTGGTCACCGCAATTGAAACATCAGAGCATGGAAAAAGAAGGGCATTATGTTACATAAATGATAAGAGATTAGTAGTGAGACTATTGGGACGAGAAAGATCGGTATGCTTTACCAGTGAAGGTATGTACTTCTTGATGGCTGCTAACATGGCAGCATGACCCACAGCAGATACCTGGTAAGACACCAGTCAGGACCAATTCAAAAGACCCAAAAAAAAGAAAAAAAAAGGTCCATGTCACACTGAATTGAGTGGGCGATTAGAAGATATATGGAAGAAAATGACCAAAATCTCAACAGCATTTCGCGTTGTGCGATTGTTCATGTCATACGGATGATGTAGGAAACAGCCTTTCGTTTGTATGTTAAAGCCAAGTTCAGATATAGTAATAGCGGCGGAAGTGGGGCAAATCCTTCTTCAGGACTCTTTACTTAAACAAACAGGAATGGCCGCATGGGCATGCAGGAGCCCGCGTGCGTGCATGTATATCCGCGTTGTGTGCATTATACGAATCTTCGACTTAGATAAACGAATGGTATACGAGAATGGTATGCTGCTTATAGTAATCTGTGATAGTTTTTCGTACGTAGTAAATGATGCATGGGATTTCGAATAGCGGATGTAGAAGGAACAAAGGCAGTTGAGTCTCCTTCCCTTTCGTATTCCAGTATGCAGCCTGGAATGTGGAGCTCAGCTCACAATTTCATGCAGAGAAACAAGAGAGCAGAGAACTGAGTTGGTACTCACTGGAAGTAGCATCAGTATAGTGACTGGAATGAGTGTTGCGATGTCTTGTAACGTTCTCTTTAGCTTCTTCCTCTCTCTTGTTGTGATCTTGTGACCCCGCATTTGCTTGAGGAGAAGCTCGAGCGACACCACGATGTCTATCCAGAGCAGCTGGGTGCCCATCCAAAAGTTCTGCCAGCGAGCATGAGATTATATCAGAAAGTATTTGTTCACGATGATAAGTCTTGCTTAGGTATCATGGGGCTTACATTACTAGCAGAGACCAACTTGATGCTGAACTTCCTGCATAAGCCTTCATCCCGGGCATCGGATTTAGCATTTCCTGCCCTGTTGACAGTGGCTATGGCAACCTTTGTGTTTGCGCTAGGATCCTGCAATTTGTGGCAAAGACAGGTATATAAACTAGGATCATGATGTCAATGAGGTAATGTTGGAATCCGGAAGTAAAATGAAGCCATACACGGCAAGCTGAAGCCAACATCATATTACGGAGATCGTTAAGCCAACTAAAGTTTCAGTATCAATCCAGATATGGTATTATCAAGGAAAAAATATCTTTAAGCTGATCAGAAAAAATATCTCTAAGCTTCCAAAGGAAATGATGCCATTCTTATTGCAAACAGTAAAATATATTCCAAGTATTACATCTGTGCTTCTTTGATAAGCTCTGCAGCATTCAGATTGTCAACATTTTCATATCGACGTAATATTTGGAATCTTGGCTTCTTTTTGTTTGGTCTAGATGTCGTGATACTGGCCGATTGGACCACTTCCATAACCGCAACAACGAGAGAGTTTTCTCTCTCTACTCACCCTCATGGATTGTCAGAAAGAGTCTCAATCAATGAAATCACTTCCTTCAATGGACATCTTGAGATCGTTGGAGAGGAAAAAGGAAGTATAGACAAGTTTGACTGTTAATTCAGGTGACAAAGCATACCTTTGTCAATTTGGGCACATGCTGAGACTTGTTCTCAAAATGTTCTTGCGCGATCGAGACACTTGCTTTATGCTGTGCCTCCAGGGCTGTAGAGCACTTAGCCTTCCGTTTAGCTGCTGCAGTCGATGTCGGGTCCAACGCACTGGTTTCTGCTGTCTTAGGAGATTCACTGACATACATACAAAAATGCCGTCATTTTAAGAACGAAGCAGTTTCATTTGCTTCAAGAAATAACAAACAAGACCAGTAGCATAGATAGCTTACCCTGATCTATCATAAACCACCCAATAATCTTCTAGACAAACACTTAGCAGGCTTTGGCTGCAAAGTTAATCGCAGACAACTTCAAGATTGGTTTATCACTAGAAATTTAGGAAGAAACGCAAGAACCAGACATGACAGATTCGCTGGATTACCTCCTGAGTAGAAATGCCAGCAATCCTGAATCTAAAGGTTGCAATGTTGAACGGCTGAAATGAGCGAAACCGGAGAAAACATCATAGCAAGTGGTGAAGACCCGAGACAGAATAATCTCTGTCTCCGCTTGGATGAGATGCTGTTTGGACCTTTTCCTGTCTGGACAGCTTGCGGTTTGTGAAGCATAAAAGTCAAGCCATCCAATCTCATCAATTATCATCTGAGGAGACAGGAGAGAGAGAGATTTCAAACATTGAAAATGTATATCTCATCCCATTCTGAACTAGGGGTTAAGGAATCCGACCTCCATAAAAATCTGATACATCTGTACCGAAGAAAATCCAGGGTATATGAAGATGATACCACACTCCAAGAAACTTCACAGATATGAAATCACCTTAAAGGTTAACACCAAAAAGCAAGTGAAGACGACGCTATAGCTTTTGAGTGAAGCCACACATACCTGAGAAAATCCTTAACCTGCTCATCCACTTCTCTTATGCCCATTTTTGACAAGTGGAGTCTAGTTCTTCTTCCCAAATATGCAAATAGTCCAAGAATAGCTAAACTCTCGGCTTTCACCTGCCACGGTATTATGAACCAAGCCCGACTTTCATTCTCAAGTATGAGACTCATTTTCAAAGGGACTGACATTGTTCACCGGGACTGACATTGTTCACCAACCCAAGTTTTAGAATATCACAGTAATTGTTTCCATCACTAAGAGCCTTACTATAATCATATTGAGATAGAGATGGATAATGTAACTGAAGCTCCTGCCATTCAACCTAAAATAGCTGTTCCCGTTTCGAAGTTATCTATGAAATTGGAGAGCTAACCTTTTCATGAGAATCTTCCATGCACGAAACAAGAGGCTCTTTCTGAAATGCAACTGAGAGCTTCTTCTGAGCAAGACCAATCCAAAATTCAAGCTCTTCACTCTCCTCGCTGGGGAGGAGCTTCCTCCCAAAATGCGTCAGGAAGTCCAGTTCAAAACCGGCCTCAGTTGCCAATTGATGCCCTTTGTCCACTGACACAAGGCCGCGAGAAAGTTCCATGAGCTCAAGCAAAATAGCATCAATGGACATTGAAAGCATGCGGCAGCTTGACTGCCGAGGACCTAATTTCACCACTGCCGAACAGCAACTTATCGCAACAACAATTCCTGCTACACCACTGGAGAATTATCTTTTAGGATCATATTTAGCTTCATAGCTTAGCCCATTTTCATGGGCTTCTTTTATGTTATTAATAGATAGCAGCAGAACAAAAGTTGTGCAACAAGGAAGTCGCAACGATACTTATGAGAACATTCTGTCCCTTTCTCTTAATATGCAGATATAAGAGTGGAGTTACAGTACATTTTCAAATAGGAGACAGTTTTATACAAGAGAAGCTTCGGATTCTCAAGTAAACAGAAAAGGGGACACTTGAGATTTTTTGCACAAACCTTCCTGCATATTCCATGGACCACTTCTTCAATAGAGGAATGAAAAATCCAGCTATCCGTGGCAATTCTACCTCCCTGAACCATCCAACTAGTCCGGTGTCCCTCTCACTCAATTGACTTTCTATGTACTCCTTTATCAAGTTCAGCCTCGGGCTCAAGCTGATGGATGTGAGAAGTAAAAGTCAGATACTGGAATAATGGCACAATATAAAGATGTCAAACAAGTTTTTAGAATAATATCTTCACACAACTGTATCATTCACTAAAAGAAAGATTCTTTGGAGACAAACTGGCTTTAACAACTAGACAAGATCTCATTTGAGAAAAACACATGGTGGACCAGCAAGGGCAATGTTAGGCTTCCATCAACCACAAACATATTGGTTCGACTTTATTTTAGGACCTGAAACTTACGTTACTACTTCCCTTTAACTCTACAGAAGTATGGTAAAGCATGATGGCATGAAGCTGAAAGAATCAAGACTCACATCTCCCTGACAACCGAAGGGTTGTTGCTACGCTCATAAGAGAGCAAAATCTCCACCTCGACAGCCGTTGTTAACATAGCATAAACTGCCACCTGCACGAGATTCACAAATTATGATCCTTGCAAAGAATGCAACCCCTCTATTCCAACCAAACCACCATTTTTAAGAACTTGTTGAGGAAGTTATGAACACATGTATTGATAGGTGATAGTTTATATACACTAAAAGATCATATATCAACAATCATAGGGAACATTAATAAGTGGTCTGCAGATACGTGATAAGAAATCCTTTTATGCCACTGGTGCACATCCTTCCCGAGCCAAGCCATCGAAATCTCGGTGCTGCTTCCCGCTACTTCGAGTAATTCAATCGCACTAGAGAAGCTCTTAGCAGATTGGTGGAGCACCCACACGAGACAGTTTACGCGGTTGAACTCCATTTTCTTGCTATGACTCTTGACAATTTGACCCCAGTTCTCGATAATGGTTTCATCAGTGAACAAAGAAGCCATAGGTGATAGTGCCCCCAATGAATACTCCCGTGGGGAAGGGTGGTATCCAAGGAAGAATTTCGAAGAACTGAAGTTGTTTGAGCAACCATAACTCTCGCGGTCCTTCCTAATTAATTTCGATGGATTCAATGCAACGGCCTTAATCTTCGGTTTCTTGTCTGAACGAAGAGATTTTCTGTGGAAACCCACCAAAACAAAAATCTTGATTTAGACCAGCCACGACATGATCACCATCATAAAAAGTAAAAAAACAGGATGAATATTCAGCATGAGAAAGCCACATCTACCCCCGTATTTTCAGCCTTCAAGTTCAAAACTTTTGAGCAGTTTTTCAAGATCAAACATTTATATTCAAGTCATATAGGCAAAGTAAGCAGTCGCCTATGATTTATCCACCTCTATGTTTGTTTTCTTTAAACACATTGAATAGATGTTTAACCAGTCACCAACATATCACAAGGTTCACATCCCATTTTCTTTCTTTTCCTTTTCTTCTTTCTTCTTTCTTGTACATAATCAATCAAAAGCTATCTTCTCAAGCACACACTTCTTATGCCAAACATGCGCCTTACGACCTCATGGGTACAATGGTATACAATGAAGCGAGTCAAAATGAGAGAGCTTACGAGTTGCTGAGAGGCTTGGGGAGTTGCAGAGAGAAATGAGAAGCCATTAAGGAACACGAAGGAAACAAAGAAGAGCAAACATTGTAGTGTCTCCCCAATATATACGATAAGGATTTGCCTCAGCGAAGCCATCAAGGTACCCATATAATTAGAAAACGATTTTCTTTTTCGCGTAAAAATCGGGTTTTTATAGGAGTTAACACCCGCCGGCTGCTTAGTGTTCCAAGATTTTGGAGGATATGTGGCAGTATATTTTTTATATAACACTATGGTCCAAGAACAAGACTGTTTCCTTTTTTGTTTTTAGACCAGATGACCAGGAAGAATTTATCCACAGACATGGAAGCTGTTCGATGTTTGTGTCGAATTGATTTTTATGTGTGCCACTGGGGTCACACCTGCCTCGTCGTGAGATAATGCAGCATAGGGAACTCCATGTAGGGTCATCTATCACACTAGTCAAACCTTGTCCATGCGTTTGATACTCTCGAAGCAATGTCTACAAGAAAAAACCAGAAGTTCCCACAGAAAAAAAAAAGGAAGAAACAAAGAGAGCGAATTATCGAGGAAAAAGCAATTTGGGTCATGTTGGTCCCTCTAGGACTAAACTGGAAGGAAAAGGAAAAACAAAAAGACATGAACTGTTTCGTGTGTCATCAAGTTCTCAGCTTTACGTGATGTTCTGACAAAGGAGGTTTGGTATTAGCGTGTGTCGTTTAATGTTCCATAAGATTTGGGAACTAGTTCATTGATGAATTGTTTGTCCACGCATAGCTTTTCTCTCTTTTCAGAGCTTAGCAAATTAGCATCGCGTGCAAAGCTTGTCTTCGTTGCTTTAGGAAAGCTTCTGGGTATATCGCCCGGATCTTCCTAATTGTTCCAAATATTTCACGCCTCAAATTGCATGTGAGGAAATTCAGCGATAAGATTAGGTGACTGAATGTGAAAACACTTATATTCAGGGGGATTCTCAAACAAAAAGCTGATTCACACAAGAAAGTGATCTGTTTGACTGGAATTCATAGCAATCAGAACATGCTAGGACTTGATTTGTAGTTAAGATTGAGGGTGTGAGATCCTCACTAGCTCACAGTACCTACTATTCCCGAAGAGCATTGGTAAGAATCAGCTCCCATTCCATCATTTAAGAAAGACTGTAAAACAAGATGAATTAACAAGCAACCATGTGTAAAAATGTCTCAAAAATTTTCCCATCTCATTGACTTCTATCTGTAGGTCATTTGTTCAGAAATTAGTGTACATCTTCACAAACCATCCTGTCAAAATCTAAGCAGCAAGGTCCCTCTATACATCCCTGTGGATTCATTTCTGGTTTTTCTCTTCCAACCATCCGTACTCACTGATGCAGTCGAACAAATAAAGAGAAACAGCATTGTTACTGCTACTTCAATTTCGCAAGGACTTGCCCGGTGTTGCGACCTGGTAAATGTTACTTTCTGTATAGTCTATCCATAAGCCAGCAAATGAAGAATCACCCATCGATCCTCTTAGATTCATTCTCTGCTGGAGCTTCGGCTTCAGTTTCCTTTCCAAATCCTAGTTCCGACATTTCTTGCCTTGCCATCAAGTTCCTAAAGAATGCAAATGGCACACTCATGAGCTCAACATTAAAAACCACCATATTTATTGAAACTGGGTATGGGTACGGGTACCCATTACATTAAAACCACATCTATAGATATCCATTCCATCTCCACGTCAACAGGAAAATACCAATCCACAGATTATAATCCTTCGTGCAATCAAATTGGTCGTTGTGCTGCTCAGTCGAGTCCTCAAGGCAAATCAGTCTTGGGATAGTAGTCAGGACGCGTTGACTTACTCTTGAGGCACTTCGAGTAGCTTGTATACTAAAACTCTAAAATGATTTCATTCAAGTGACATAGCAATACCCCTTCGAGAAACTTTATTCTATCACATAGCTGGACAATACAATTAGTTTAATTCAGATGGAGAAACTCATGAAAACCACATAAATCTGTTTTCTTGTCTCCTCTTTCATATGCATACATTGAGGTGGTTCAAAGAACTACAAAAATGAACAGAAGCCCCTCATTCATGTTAGATTTTAGAATCAAGGACAATGCGAGAAAGCAGATCATAACACGGTGTAAAGCAATGTTTCTACGAGATTTTCCGTAGTTTTGCAACTCTTAAGTAGCTGAAGCATCACGTTTATCCAGGCCATCAAATTTGTTTTGATGGGCGTGCTACATGCTTAAAACTGTGATATCTAAAACAAACAAATTTGGATACTTTGCAAACAACAGCAGATATACAACACCACAAAAGTGATCCATTCGAATGCTACAGCTACAAGGTGTACTCACTTTGCCATACGACACTCCAAATACTTTTTTGAGAACTGTCTACATTTTTCAGATTGATGACTTGAAGATTTGAGGCAACTGAGATAATCCTTCTTCTCCTGAAGCAGAAGGAGGCACAAACATGATTACAAACAAAGTGAAAGTCGAAAACACACCTAACTGTCGATCAAATTATTCCCAAGTGGTATAGGATTTTGGGATAGCTTTCTTGTAAAAAGCACGAAAGAAGTACCACGTCACATTCGTGCATGTGATCCAAGGGGAAGACACCTTTCTCTGGAGGTACTGGTCGCAATCCCCTGTTCCCTCCAAATGCACCACCTGCGAGGATTGAAAGTTACAGATGAATGCAGTCATGTAAAGGTGCTTCTTCTCCATCACCCCCAGAGGAAAAGTAGCTCGCAGTGCAAGTGAAGGTACTGTTTTTGCAGTAATTGCAGTACATCATGCCAGATTGCAAGTACTATCCTACTCCTATTGGGACCCCTGCCACCGCCGCCGCCGCCACTCCTACCATTGCCTCTACCACCATTAGTTCTAATGACACCACTAACTGCCGACACCACACCCGCCACTACTGCTTGTTCAAAACACAATGCCATGTGGTCAGTGATTGGAGAAGACTAACCATCCCAAGTCAGCTTTACAATCTTCTTCTTCAAACAATGGCAGGTACTGGCACTTCTAAAATAATTACCCAAGTTAGCTTCCTTCATTTTTTCAGGGAAAAAGACAGTCGCTTTTCTCATGCCCAGATGAAATAGTTTAAGCAACAAACACTTGCAAAGGTAAAAGATGGGCTCAATTCACCAACAACGATTCATTTCGTCCCATAGAACAGATTAAGCCACTGAGCAGCAGCATTCAAGAACTCGTCAAGAACCCTACCACCCCCCAAACACCCCACATCCAGCAAAAAGAAAAAAAAAACAAAGAAGAATAATTAAACGAAAATGGGCACAATTTCGGTTATTTAAAGAACGTGCAAGGACAAAACAACGGAGAAAATTACAGAGAACGAAGTGGAAGGAAGAAAAACTGGAATGAATAGCTAGTCAGTTCCAGAAAACCACCCCCACCAGAGCTTGAGATCACGTCCTGTCAAAAGATCAAAAGCAAAATCCTCCAGCAAATGCTTGTCGAAATGGGAGATGGCGTTACCTGCGCTCATTGCAACTTGGGTGTCCGCCGGAACTTTGGCAGAGCAGTTCCACTTCGACGCGACGACGATGCCACGGCAGAGAGGGAAAGTACAAATCGAGAACTCTCTCTCTCTCTCTCTCTACCCCTCGCTTGACCGGGCCAATGGAATGGGCCCGGCCCAAAGTTACACCCCCATCGGGCCGGTTCTAGGCCCGTAATGGATGCAAATTGCACTAGAAGACAGTCTTGTGAGCTATCGCAGAGAAACATCATGCTAACAAGAGAAGTTCTCACACGTAGATTTTCATCAGAGGCACTAATCCGTGTCGAACAAATTCGTGTCGCGCTTTTGAAGTGTTTTATTAAGTGATTAGGTTGTTTTCCCCGACCAACAACCTTGATTACATGACACATACAGCGTGTTCATCATGCAATTAAGGTCGCTGTGCAAAAGTTGTGTCCGCGGCGATCCCGATTCCCCGTCGGAGAAGGGGAAATGAAATCTCGTAGCCAAAAGAATAGGGAGCTCAAGACGCGGTAAGAAGAAATGATGAGAGATAAGGCTGCTCTATCCTCTACATACGTTACTCTCTAATCACGTAAATCAGAAAGAAAGAAAGAAGAATATACAGTTTCCATGATTGGGGGCTGTATTTAGGTACATCAGGGGATGACGGCGTAATCGTCCAAAACGACGCGCCGTTTCTTGGCCCCGTCCTCTGCTCTTCTTCTATGGAGGGAAATGAAAAAAATTCGGCTGAGAAGTATTCTATAGTCATCGCCATATAAACCCCCTACTGCTTGAACTCTGGCAATTGTGCAGAACTCTCGATCTCTTCCCGTGAGCTCCTAACCACACACATATACTCTCCAGGACTTCGTCACTTGAAGTCACTAAATTGCCTGAGCATGCAAAGGCTTGTCGGGATTTATAAGCATGTGCGGGTGCGGATGCTGAATCACGACGAGAATTGAATCCCTACAGCTCTTGTCGCCGTAAGGGGAAGTTGGCTACATTAACATAACAGACATACTTGGTCAGTAGAGAGAACATCGTATAATCTTTACCAATTTTCAACAGGGGCCAGGTAAGATTTGAAGGGGAAAGACATCACTAAGAGAAAAAAGGCACATGCTAACATTCACCGTAAGCTAGAATAAAACCGAGAAAAACAAACTCTCTGTATCACCTAGACCAAATCCAAATAAGCAAAATGGTTAAAGACTTGGTTATGTTGTTAAGTTTGAGCTGCTTACTATTCCAATGTGCCACTTGTGACGACTGAAATCTTTAAAAGTAGCTGCATCCATTTCCTGGAACGAGTGTTAATGCATTAGCCGAGAAGACAGTCGTATTTATCAACAGTCAAGCAAAGCTAAAAAAACAAAAGAGGGGCTCAGTTAATTGGGGGGAGAGATGTCCCTAACTTTCAGGAAGCATGCAGATGATACATTTGAGTTGAGGGCATGAGATACAAGGTTGAGGGAACCAAACAATTAGAGCAGATGAACTATTTGCATCTGTCTTTTGATAAGATTAAGAATCTACAGTTTAAATAAAAGGTTAATGTAATGAGGAAGCGAAGCCTTTAATAGGTTCTTGCGGTGAACAAATGATTCTCAAGTTTTAAATGAGAGGAAGGCCAAGGTATTCCCACATTTATGTCGATGTATGTCTCGCAATCAATTGAAACTTTGGCACCAACATTTATTTGAACAGAAATTACAGACCTAAGGCCAACTATGTGACAACAAACGAAAAGCTGTACACCTTTACGCCAGAAAATTGTATGGCAACTAAAGGCTCATCAGTTTTCTTAGAAGAAAATGTAATGAATTCAACATATCGTTAAGAGTAATCACAATTGTCTCCAAAATGAGATAACTTACAATACTGTATATAGGAGGAATAACCGTGCTGCCTTTAGATTTTACAGTCGGCATGACCGTGAAGCGTGGTGCCAGGTCTTGCGATCTGAAAGTCCACCTATAACGAACATGAGCAGAATCAGCAATACCATGTAGTTGAAGAAATATTTCCATTTTTTATGCTAGGCTTTCACGGGCTCAGAAAAGGCAAATTTGATAAGGGAGACCTTCAGAAACTTGCAGATCACTTACCCGATGTACAAAAATATGCAGAATATTGCCCATTCTCGAACTAACAGCCGAAGCCAGTAATTGTTTGATGAGTCATCAATGTTTATATATATCTGGAAATAAATGCCAAGCCGTGTTAGAAATTATACTCCCTACCTTGCCCATCATAAAAGATCATAATATTGATGCAGATATATAATATACTTGCCACTATTTCAGCCATGGCCACAATTTGCATTGCACCTTGAAATTTTCTGTATGGACCAACAGAAGAGCGCATCAAATTCAATCTTTGGTAGTCCATAAGAGAGGGAAGAAAAAAGCCAACAATGCTTATAGGACTGGGGTTAAAGACAGAGAGGGCACCGCGTACTTGAACATGATATACTTCATATATACAGCATCATGCATTGCCTGAACATCCTCGTCTTCTATATAGTTCAACTGCTCCCTCAGTGTTGATAAATTCTGAGATATGTGGTAAAAGATTGTATAGAACGATACAAAATAATTAATCAACAGAAGCCCCTGCACCAGAATGCATTATATGTCACAAGTTCTACCCAGGAAGAGATGCCTTTCTCCAATAAAGACTCCGCAAAAAATATTGCCGGGCAATTAAAAAATGAAACCAACACGCACTAGCTTGATGAAGCTCACCGTAAAATAAGGAACAGAAGCTCTGTAACCAACAAGAGTCAGATAAAACACACTCCCAAGTGCAGCTGTTGTACGACGCTCATTTACGGATAGGCGCTCACAGGTGATACAGTATCCATGAGAAATAAGCAAGAAGGATATAAAAGAAGCCGTCTGAAAGAGTACTCCAGTTACATAGACCCCAAAAGACATCCACAAGGAACACCTCTGAAGATAAAAGCACGAATACCTGCAGAAGGCACCATATTTGCTGGATCAACTTTTCACGAAAAGAGGCGGTTGGTAAGTAGTGTTTACAAGAAGAATGAGCATCTACATTGTGTAATCTTTCGCCACAGCCTGAAACAGCAATTAGTGCTACTACAGGATTTAACATGACTTTCCAATACACTTCTTGGCATTGTAAGTACATGTATCATCAACTGCTCTAGAAAGGTACAAAGCTTTTCCAGTCTATGTTATTACCCCATAGCAATTAATGTGGGAAACATGAATGCATGTACTTCTTAATCAATAACTTAATTCAAACAAGCGATCCTTGTTCAGACACGTACGTAATTACCTACAGCTCCATTGTTCGAAAGATTAATCCTGGGTCGTATAATTTGAAGTGAAAAAGCACGACGTTGTAATGATAATGCAGAGTGTGCAGAGTCAGAACAGATCACGATGTCCCAAGGAGGAAACAGGGGAGAACAAAAAAGAGAAAGAAGGTTCATTTTGGTACCCAACTCATCAAAACGCCAACCACCTCCGCTCTGCTCCATCTTCCACAGATAAAACTTTTAATAATATCTAACCTCCTAGCAAAAAATTTTAAAAAATTAAAAAAAAAATTCAGCTTACCAGAAAAGGAAGGAGAGCATGAGTTGCAGAGCCTTGATCAATGGAACAGATGCCAGCGTCCACTGCAAATTACTCGTCTGCTCTAGGATGAAAACAGACAAACGGAAGACAAATTCACTTTCCAGGAAAGAGCAACGAGAAAGATATCTCTTCATGAAAAGAAACAGCTTTCATGTAGAATAACATACATGATACACCCCACCCCCCAAAAAGAAGAAGAAGAAGAAGAAAACAAAAGACGATAGACATGCCTGGACATAAAGATGGAGCGATCGCCAGAGATGTTAGCTACATGGATGTAAATTGAAGTGATTATCTAAATTCCCAGGAAGAAAAGCGACTCCACTGAACCGGGGAACGTGAACGGCAACACTGGACACGCCCCGACTATACAACTCGTACACGACACAGTGATGAAAGAAAACCAAAGCGTTCGACAAACAACCCGTCCGGCAACACAACAGCCCTCTTCGATATGCTAAGCTCATATGCTCGCAGAGAAACAGAGAGAGAGAGAGAGAGAGAGAGAGAGAGAGAGAGAGAGAGGGTGACAAGGAACCTACGAAAGAGTTCGCAACGAATGACGTCTTCACTAGATTCAGCGAGACTTGACAGAAAACCAAAGACGCCCGAAGACAAGAATGCCTCGATGGACGATGAATTCATCTCGGCCTCAAGCTCTCTCGACGACTGGAACGGCGAGCCGAGGAAAACATTTCCGGTAATCACCGTAACTGACGAAACGACGGGCCGATCGACGGAGGGAGGGAGGGAGGGAGCGGGAGAGAGGGAGAGAGAAGCGGGACCTGAAAGTGGGCGTTGCGGTAGGTGTTGAAGGTCCAGGAGCAAGCGGAGACGAGCCAGATCGCGAGGAAGGCCAGGTACACCGAGGCCAGCGGCCGGTACGACTCGTCGAGGCCGAGACGGTACGGCGCCTCCATCTCCGGCGGCGATTCACGCTAAACGGAAGCAGGAGACGATGATGATGATGACGATGATGAATGCGCTCCGGTGACTGCCGGAGTTTCAGACTTTCAGTTGCAGCGAGAGAGAGAGAGGGGGAGAGCGACGATCGTCTGCGGGGATATTTATACTTGTACAGTTGGGAACGCGCGCCACGTGTCGGCGCGTGCAATTCCTATTTTGGGCTCCACGCAGAGACCTACACCAAAAAAAAAAAGGAAATTAATTTCCCCCCCCCCCCCCCTCCCTTTTTTTTTTCAAAACGTGATATTATCTATTTTTATTTTTATTTTGGTCAGAATGATATTATCTAGTTAGAATATACGGAATTGTAGGAAAACATCTTAACCAGAATTATTTCGAATATGATTTTTCTCCAAAAAAAAAAAATATGGATTTCACTTTTTTAGCTCCAACCATGAAAAACCCTTCTTCTTTTTTTAACGGGACTATTATATTTTTTTTACAAATTTTTACATGTCTATTATCTATATAAAGTCAAAAGATAAATGTTTTAATAAGTACATTCCAATCAGTAATATTGGAGTGAGTGTTCCTGAATTTAATAGGGAGAAAAGATTATTAGGTCTTTTTATTTTTTTTAACGAATGATGTAGTCAGTGGATATGTAAGTGCGATTTGGTGTCACCTGATTTCCTTTTCCTTTTTTTTAAAAATTTTCTCTTTTTTTCTTTGTTTATTTTTTTTTGGTGTGGCCAAAGACGGTGTCGTATGACTTAACAAAACCCACTCCGGTCGTGCTCTCCGTGATTCCCCCCGGATTTCAGGGCCGGTTCCGGGCAACATGCCAAACTTTGGTCATTCAAAGATCGTTCCGTGCTCTCCTTGCGCGGCAGTGCTCAAGAAACGGCGCAGAGCGCATGGATCGAATGTCAGTCCGTACCGGGCACTCGATCCGGCCCGTCCCGGATGAGGGCGGGGGGACCACGTACTTGTCGCCACGACGGAATCGATTGCACATGTAAATCGTGCGTGCAAATGCGGTTCTCATGACCATAGAGCTAAATTCCGTCGGGTCTCGAGCACACGATAGGCGAGTGTAGTTTTTCGATGTAGGCAGCGTGCGGTGGCGATTTAGTAGTCTCGTTTGTCGATTGTCTACTGCTTGGCATGGACGTGGGAAGATTGTCCAAAAAAACCTAAATATATTGCGTTTTGGCCAATTCAGTTCTTGACCTTTCAATTTTGTCAATTAAATTCTAAACATTTTCATGTTTTGCCAATTAAGTCCATCAGGCTTTTTTTAACCGAAAATCGTTGATGGTAATGCCACATAGGACGGCCAACGTCGATGCGAACAGTTTTTTCTTTATAATTTTGTATTCATTTCTTTTCTTTTTTTCTTTTACTTTCTTTCTTTTCCTTTTTTTTCCCTTACAAAATCCGGCCAGGGTCGCCGGTCACAAGCGACTGACCCTTATCGACCCCAGGCAAGGGTCAGTGACCCTTGCTAGCCATGGTCAGCCACTAGGCAAGGGCCGCAAAGCCCTTGCCGGCCACGGGCGAGGGTCATGGCCCTCGTAAGGAAAAAAAAAAGAAAATAAAAAAGAAGAAAAATATTATAAAAACTACACACGTTAGCGTCGGCCGTGTCACACAGGATGATCGGCGCCCACGTCAACTATTTTCAGCTAAAATTGGCCAAATAGACTCAACTGAAAAAACGTGATGAAATTTATAATTCAATTAACAAAATTGAACAATTTATGACTGAATTGACTAGAGTGCAATAAATTTAAAACTTTTTGGATAATGTTCCCGAACGTTCCTTTAGTGATTTACAGATGGGAAGCAACATGGGCTCTGACCATCTCGTTACTCGATTCTGTCTTCTTCCTCCTCTTTCTTCTGCATATTCAAGTATAGAAAAGACCAAAGGTTGATCGACCTAACACAACACATGGCACTTTCATTCCAAGTTATGATATGAGGAGGGAATGTATGACTCGATCTATTGGACCAACCACTCTGGAAATCATCACGCAATGTCCTGAAATTGGACTCGTTAGGAAGTTCTTGGGGAGCTGTCCATACGTGAAGAACACAACATTAGGTGAACAAACTCAACACCATTTAACTAGTTCCCCCCTTCAATCCCACTCCGTCTTCAGCGGCTCGAAAAAATATTATTCTTTTCCCCCCCTTAGTTTTCCTTGATTGACTCGATGTTTTTAAGTGTCGCGAAAGGTGACCGTGCAATCGATCACGACAGCGAGATCGACGGACGGAGAAACAAAAGCGAGAGACAGAGGAAGCGACGCGCCGGAATTTACGGGGTTTCGGTCGGAGCATCGGAATCTATGAATCCAATACGAACGACGGAGATTACAGGCTCGGATCTCTAGTGCCCGAGTCCCCCCGGATTACACGCGGTCGATCGTCACCGGGCGTTTCAACCTTCGAGAGGAGGAACTCGTCTCGCCGGATTCCTTCCCGGACCTATCTATCCACTTTTTCCGGACTTCGATCCTCACCCGACTCGTTGGCCAAAACTCGAGACATACTCGACACGATGGGTTTCGGGCCAAACGCATCAAGGACGGGGGGGGCTGATGAAATGCACGATGTGGGACATGAAGGAGCAAACCAAGAAGTTCAATTATTTTCAACTTGGGCTTGGGGGCGCGGATGGGCCTGAAATTCAGGCCCATGATCTCTCTCTCTCTCTCTCTCTCTCTCTCTCGGGCCTTTCGTTCCGGCCCCTCCTTCAGCTCGTCGTTTGCTTCGTGACCTCCTCACGGTAACTAACAGTCTCGTCATATCACCGATCTCAACTCGTATTTCCCCTTTTAACGTAGCGTGTCAGCGATATCTGAAAATGATTTTTCGCAATTAGATTAGATACCCTTCCTTCAGCATACCGGCGCGAACCGTTTGTTTGAATTCACGGAAGTTAACGCTCCTCGTCACTGTCCAAGACATTGTTTGTAGACAAGTGGCAAACCTCAAAGATTGACATATGCTACCAGCAATGACACCAACAATTAATCTTGTCGATTCCCATCACGACTAACGCCTCCTTTGGTCCGGGGGGGACCATACCATAATGGCCCTAACAACAATGCAAGAGGGACACAAAACGATCCCCCGGAACTTTTGACTAATGAATGATTCTTTGCCTTAATCACGTTATAAGATTACTCTCATCTACAATGCTTTCCTTTATTCATTCCGGCCAAAAATATTTTCGTCGTTAAACCAGAGTTGATCCGAAATTCCGAATATATCCGCGTCAAGTGTCGAGTATCCATCTGGGCCACTTTTTAATAATTCAAAGCAAAAAAAAAAAAAAATTGGGAATTGGAATATCAAATTGCGCATGGGCTGACTAATTTAACCATTGATGGACTAAAGAGGTATGAATAATTAATTTTTTACACGTCACGTGAAAGGGAATATCGACCTTTCCATCTTTTCCCCTTAATAAAGCAATTATTCTCCGACGACAATAATAGGCGGAAATTTCTATTTTTTAAGAAAATATAAGCTAAAGGAGACGGCCCCTTATTATATTAGCCATGTGATAATTTGATGATTTCTTGGGATCAAATCCGTTCTTTCTGAACATAAACATTGGGAGAGGCCAACAAATTAGGAAAAAAAAAAGAGAAACGTAACTTGGTATTAATGGGAAAAGAAAATCGACGGACGGGCTCCTAAATAGCCGATAAAATAAAGGGAAAAAGTCACAAAAAAAATTCTAAACTATGCCCACAGGGACACAAACATGGAAAAATCACAAACTATGCCTGTTGCGACATATTTACCCTACACTTTTTCTCGTAACATAAAAAATCTAAAACTTGTATCTATATGACACATTTACCCTCCATCAGGATTCTGTCGAATGATTTTTCAGTCAAAACAACGTCGTTTTTATTTCACTTAAGCTACGTGAGCGTTGTGTCAACAATGTTTTCTTTCCTGCGTCAATGTAGACAGATTTTTAACAATCCTCATTGACGGAACTTTGACGGAGGGTAAATATATCGCACGGATACAAGTTTGTGATCTTTGCCGTCACAAAAAAAAAATTTAGGATACATGTGACGTAGCAAATATAATTTGGGATTTTTTGTGACTTTTGCCCTAAAATAAATTGCGGATCTTTTTTCCCCTTATTCTCCATTAATTAGTTGAGATGTTAATGTCTGCACGGGTCAAATGCTCTCGCAAATATTTAATACAAAAATAATTTGCACCTTTTGAGACTAAAAAAAGAGGAAGTATCCACGTAGAATATAACGTTTAAAGATCCTTTCTTTTTCTTTTCCTTCTTTTACTTTTTGGTAATCAATTAAATAAGCATCAATTAGTGCAACGATTGATTCTGTGTCGTGTATCTATTTGCTCATGTGAGAGCAATGTGCAATTATTTAAGTCAATCTCTGCATCGAACCAGCACAAGTTCGGTGTAGGGGAAACGTTACCATAAATTATTGCACATTTTTCTAATATGGTCAGATCTGTATGCCTCGCCCTCCCTTGCTTTATTTCATTGCCCGGTCCGATCTATTTGGTTGGCTGCCAACTTTAGAATTTATTATCTTCATTTAAGATGCGATGAATATTCTTAAAGCACTCTGCAACTAGCTAGCATCGCGCGAATTGCAGTTAGAACTTTGGCACGAACAAAGAAGCCATCAAGAGCATGCGCGGTAACTCGGTATTAAAGAATAATCGAGCTAGACGAGAGAGCTGATCCGATACAAGTCAAAAGAAACCTAACTTCGGAATTTTTTTGCGGAGGAAAATAATACGATCTAGTCAGAAAAATCTGAACGGTCCGGAAAGAGATTTTCGTGGATGTAATTTCGAGATGTTTCTTTCCAATCAAAATTTTTTTCGCGCAATAATATGGGTTAATAATAGTCATCTTTATCCACATAGAAAAAATCCCATCAATTATAGCGGGGCCTGGGCTTCGACAAATCAAACACATGCTAAGAAAGATGGAGGGTAGAGATTAAAGGCGGTCATGGGTCAACATCATTGTTTTCATGGCTGAAATGTGATTTTTGAACAAAGGCGAGCAAGTTTGATTTTGTGTGTTGTTTTTCGTTGTCAACTTGAGGATCTCAGCCCCAAAAGACGTCTTGAAGGTTGAGGGGGCTGGGGCTGAGATCCTCGAGTTGGTATCAGAGCCGGGTCTTGTAGGCCCCGGGGTGAGCTAACGTGGACGGGATGACCGTTGGATGCGCAGAGTCCCACATCGGGTGCCAGAAGCGAGGCCATCCTCTATATTAGCACGAGAGCCCCCTCACCTTTCACGACGTCTTTTGGGGCTAAGATCCTCGAGTTCCTTGAGTTGGTATCGGAGCCGAGTCTTGTAAGCCCCGGGGTGAGCTAATGTGGACGGGACGAACTTTATCTCAATATGTAATGTGATTCATGAACTTTTAATATATTCAATATGATCTCCGGATTTTTAAATATATCTTCAGCTTAATCTTTGAACATCATATAGTTCAAGAACTAAATTGAACATGTATCAAAGTTCATAAATCATATTAAATAAATTAAATATTCAGGAATTACTTTGCACGTTAAGCTAGACTGTCTAGCTTTAACGTAAAAAGTTAAGACATCGGGTTTCAAAGCCAAAATTCCAAGAAACATTCATAGCATTTCCTCTTATTTTTCCGACAAATGACCCAAGAAAAAGAATCGGCTCCTTCGATAAGAGTATAAGATGTCGCTGGCAAAGTACGAGTGAACCTTAGAGGACAATAATTGGGGAGAGAGAGAAATAGAGAAATGGATGCAAATGCGATAGAAATTTCAATGAAGGTACAAGTACGTGGAACCCAATTTGTACCACCACATGCCCATCAATAGGTCCACGCCTCTATGTTTTGGCCTTCTTCTTTCCTCTTGTTGATTTTTTTTTTAACTCTTTTTTTGGACCTTTCTTCTGTCTTTAGATCAAATGGTTCCGATGCATTTGTTTTATCTAGTGTTTGATAGAACAAGATTATACATTAGGGTGGGGAAAAAAAGAAATCGATGGGATTATGCTACTAACTATTCTGTTGGGAGCGCGCAATTTGTACGTGGAACCCAATTTGTACAAGTACGTAGAACCCAATTTGCAAATGCGATAGAAATTTCAATGAAGGTACAAGTACGTGGAACCCAATTTGTACCACCACATGCCCATCAATAGGTCCACGCCTCTATGTTTTGGCCTTCTTCTTTCCTCTTGTTGATTTTTTTTTTTTGAACTCTTTTTTTGGACCTTTCTTCTGTCTTTACATCAAATGGTTCCGATGCATTTGTTTTATCTAGTGTTTGATAGCACAAGATTATACATTAGGGCGGGGAAAAAAAGAAATCGATGGGATTATGCTACTAACTATTCTGTTGGGAGCGTGCAGCAATATCTTCGCTCGGAGAGATCGCCAAGAAAGAGTCCGAATCCGAACTCGTCAACATATCCAGTTGGACATGCCTTTCACTATAAAATTTTAAGCCGACTAGATTTGGCTGAATTTGGTGTTGGAGGGACTCAATTAGAAAACTCGTGAAAGCAAAAGGATCCGATCAGACAAATTAGGAGCGCGGAGACTTAGCTAGAAAAGGAGTGAACACGGCGAAAACCAAAAGGGTGGAATTTTCCCGTTCATGAATCCCCTCAACAAAGGGCCCGCATAGTAAGTTCCAACTTCTTGCATCTAAGCTCCTTTTGACAATTATGGAGTCGCTCCTCGAGCACGCATTGTTTCGAAATGTAGTTTAGAGACTCGAGCAAGAGGGAAAGGGTCAATCAAAGGCAACTCACCCTAACGTTCAAGTTTCGATTCAATTGACTATCTAAGTTTGATATTAAATATTTTCTCTCATCATTATCTTTCCCCCTCCCGTTTTCCCACCTTTCTCTCTCTCTCAATATTAGTATGATTTTGTCATATTTTGGAAATACAAATGGTAGGTTATGGGTCGCTTTGCAGGAGCGTGCCCACTCTTAAATCTTCACTACAAAAACCCATCCCCCCCCCCTCCCATCTCTCTCCCTCCCTCTCCCTAACACATCCTCAACCTCCGATTTATTATCCATAACGCAGCAACCACCAATGCCGGAGCCACCTTGCACGGCCGAGGCCGCCGTCACCTCCCCAACCCCGTCGCCGGCCTCCCCGTCTTCCTCCTCCGGCTCGTCCTACGTGTCGAACCCCGACCCGCTGTCCGGTCGCGAGCCGAAGGAGAAGGCCAAGAGCGAAGGCCGGCCGATGGCCAAGCGAGGTCGGGACGGGAGCAAGCACCCGGTGTACAGAGGGGTCCGGATGCGGAGCTGGGGCAAGTGGGTGTCGGAGATCCGCGAGCCCCGCAAGAAGTCGCGCATTTGGCTCGGCACCTTCCCCACCGCGGAGATGGCGGCCCGCGCCCACGACGCGGCCGCGCGGAGCGTGAAGGGCGAGTCGGCGGTGCTGAACTTCCCCGGCCTCGCCGAGCTCCTGCCCCGGCCCGCGTCGCTCGCGCCCCGCGACGTCCAGGCCGCCGCGGCGAGGGCGGCCACCATGGACGTCGGCGCAGCAATGCCAGGATCGTCGTCGCCGCCGCCATCATGCTCTTCCGAGGCCGCGGAGCCCGAGGAGCTGGGCGAGATCATCGAGCTGCCCAACCTAGAAGGCGGGTTCGGCCTCGGCCTCGGCTTCGGGCCATCCGGGTCGTCGTCCGGCGATGTGCTGTTGGCCGACACGGTGGACTACGGCGGCTGGGCGGAGGATCAGCCACGGTGGCTGATCGGGAGCGAAGACGCCGACTTTGGTGCGGAGTTCTTTCATCAGCGATTGGCGGCGGAGAGCAGTTACCCTCCAGAATTCGAAGCGCTCGACCGGGATTAATTACGGCTAAATTTTTTAGGTGCTTCTCATTTTTATTTTTATTTTTGCCTCTTTCTTCTTCTTCTTTTTTTAATTTTTAATTCCTTGGGAGGCCATATAAAATACTATAGTTTTCCAGATTTTCTCTGTACGAATCATGTCATATCTGTCCCTAAGCTATATGATTGCTAACTGATTTTTCTTCGATCGATGTAAATTAATCAAATATGTATATAGTTACACAATTTCGGCACCCTTTGTGACTTTTGCGATGCTTTTTTTTTTTTTTTTTTGGGTAGATGACTTTGCGATGCTTGCTCGGGATATTTTTCGAGTTTTTTTTTTTTGGGGTACCCAAGAAAATGGGCCTAAAATCTAATGAATTGAACCGTTGGATGGTCTTTATTTTTTTTTTGGATTCTATTGCCACCATAGAGAAATTTGTGCCGTTGTAAATATAGATTTCGCTATCGGAATACTTGACTAGTGGGACTGACGCCGCTAGTGACAAGAATTGAATCCTATGGTGCAAAGCGCGAGGTGGATATGACTCCTCGAAACCAAAGCTGACTTTTGCATTATCGTATGGCAATGGCACAAGATGCTGGGGGACTTCCCCCTTTTCAAAGTACACATTTTTTGGCTTAACCAAACTTCTAATCTTGCTTACACATCGAGAATTATCGACTATTCTATTGAGGAGGTTGGATGGGTGCAGTTACGGCTCCAAAGCCCCACGTTTCGTCGAGCGTGGGCGTGCCCGTTCGAATGATCGACACGCGAGCAGAATCGCTCCAAAAAATGATTTACTTTTGAATCCGAAACATGTATCCGAAGAGTGATGTTACCGGGTACGAAATTCACAAGAGCAAAAATTTTATATTTCACCGAAGTCGATTCAAACGTCCATCATGTTAAGCATAATATGTAACATTCTCACGAATGCTGTCAATCAATTGTACTTCCAATGTCATCTCGAGTTGGTAATATAGCCCACCTTTTCTTATTCACGTCCGTTCCCCCGAAATATGTCGTAATTACATTGCAGCCCCAAACATCCCCCGAATCATTCACGTAATGGGTCGGTCAGTCTCTTTTGATCACGAAACGACGTGAAGAAAAAATCACCTCGACCCCAGCAAGAAAACGCAGCATCTATTTCGTCCAGCAACGGTCGCATTGGTGATTGTCCCAAGCCATCCTCCCACTTCCCCACCGAAATTCAATCTCGCGGTCCGTCGCTGTCGTCCCCGACGTCGCTTTCTTCACACAGACATCGCGACGTTTGTCAAAAATTAAGGAGCGGGACCAACTTCTCCTCTGACCCTTTTGGCCGTCGCTGATCGGGTCGCGTGGCGGCATTCGCTGGAGCCAGAACACCGAACTCGGTGCGCGGTTTTGGCCTCCGGAAATCCAATCGGTTTCGTCGTGTGAAAACGCGGTGGACAAATCGACCCTCGAAGCGTTTCTGAACGATGATGGATCACTTGCAGCAGCGCGTCCCCTCCCCTCTCGCGTCATGATGTTGACAGGAAGCGTCTCTGGGTCTGAAATTTCCACCACTGAAGCGTACGGTCCAACGGACAGCTCGATTTTGAACGGGGGGAGGAAGGGCGAGTGGGAACGCAGCGCCGCCGTTGGCGTTTTCAAAATGATCTGTGAATAGTCTCCTCGTCCTCCCTTTTGATACTGTAAAGCGTTTTCTTGTTGTTTTTTTTGGACGGCCGTCGTAGCGTATCGTAGAACAGTATTCGCATAACGGCGTCGAGTTCGCTCCTCTGATCGAGTCTAAGGCGAGCCGTCCACGCACGTCGGAATCGGTGATTCGTGAAATCGTGTTTTCCTTATGGCCCTGTTCTGATTCATTGCAAACGTTGTTCAGAAAACTATAATCACGCCAATCAAAAAGCTAGTGCAAAAAAATTTTGTGTTGCCTTTAATTGTCATATGCCTCGTGGCTAGAGGCCGCGAAGCCCACCAGCTCCCTTCAATTCACCATCTCATGTTCCCGATTCCGCAACACCCGCACCTGAATTGTTGCATCCGTAGATAAAGTCCAGCGCAATCCGTATCAGGCACGACGTGTTTTAAAGCAATAGGAGCACGAGCAAGTCGCCATCGGAGGGCGGACGAAGTTATTAATATCAGATTTAAAGCGATTCAGAGGGCGGACGAAGTTATTAATATCAGATTTAAAGCGATCGATGGACGGGTTTAGGCCGAAGAGGAGCCCTTCAAATCGAGCCTAACTTATTGTGAGATTTTGATGGGATTATAGCCAACTGTTTTAAAAGTTTAAGCTGATAGATGAAGGCGTTTTTTAATATTTAATTATTCTAACACTCCTCCTTACGCTTAGTCTGGTCTTTTTACCTAGTACTAAGCGTGGACATATTTAATTGGGGAGATAAATGGGGCCTGGAAAGATTTGAACCCAGAACCTCCAGCTCTGATACCATGTGAGATTTTGATGAGACAACACCTAATTATTTTAAAAGCTTAAGCTGTTAGATGAATGCGTGGTTTAATATTTAATTATACTAACACTTATTACGTAGGCTCGCCCATGCATGGTAAAATCATATCATCTCTTCTGGGTCGGGCGAGCCTCGCACAAAACCGCCAATCTCTTGTTCTATTCAGTGGTACCAGAGTAAGGAGAGCATATGGGTAAGAGGAGCTAGGCATTAACTTCAATGACGATTCAAAGGGCCCCTGCGATTGAACGTGCCCTAAAACCCTAGGCTGAGTCCTTTGCACCTTCCCGAAGGACCAACCCTCGATAGGGCCACCCAACCAATGCCAAACGGTACACGTCCTCCCATTGACACTCTTGTCCACACAAACCAGTTAGCTCTCGAGCTTCGGCTCGCGACACGTCTACGTCGGAGAGCCATGGGGCCTAAGAAGCTCGGGCTTTTACTTTTGGGAGACGCTGTGGGGGCGACTTTCGTAGTTAATGGGACGTGGAGACAGCGACGTCTCGTTTGCGCAGCTGACGGTGACAGTTTCGTGATCTTTCTTCGGAACTCTCCCCCCCCTCTTCCTGCGCAGGAACTTTTCCTCACGAAGACTCCTGCGCTCGAAAGATCTCGGCAGCTGCCGGTGCAGAGCTTTTCCAAAGTTCTACTGGCGCAGAATCGATATTATAACGAGGGCAGTTGTCTGACGTTGAAGTGAAAGCAAGCAGAGAGACGTTGTTTAAAGGTTTAGAGGGGCAAAGTTTTCCCCATGGACTTTTCCATATTCGGGAAAGGGAGATGGGTTGGACGATAACCTAGCGTTCCTGGCACGTGATCATCGCGTGGTTAGACGGCGTGGTTTGCCGAGTGATGAGAAAAATCTCGATTCGATTCAAAACCATCGTTCTTTTTGGACTTGTTATATGCAACACGAAAAGAGACGCATCTCTCGTTATCGACCGTGAGCGTGAGTCGGGATAATTACCAAAAAAAATAAAAAATCGCATGCATAATGTGCAGATATCAATTCGGTCCTGAACCTTTTAATTTGGCCAATTAATTCGTAACTCTCGCCAACGTGAATGCCGGTCATCCTACGTGGCACAGCCGGCGCTGGCATGTACAATTTTCGCAGTTTCATTTTCTGAATTTCTTTTCCTTTCTTTTTTTCCCGTTGTGGTGGCGGCGAGGGCGTGAAGACCGCCTCGCCCGCAAAAAATGAATTTGCAAAAATTGTCCGCCTCAGCGCCGACTATGTCATGTAAGAAGGCCGGCGTTCACGTCAGCGATTTCCTGATAAAATTGACTGGAATGACTATATTAGCAAATCGTCAAAAGATTTAAAATTAAATTGATTAAATTAAAAAGTTTAAGATTTAATTGATATCCATATAATATTTTCAAGACTTTTTTGGTGGTTTTTTCGCCCCGAATTTGGCATGTTTATTAGCTTTTCCTCTACTGAATTAATCTAATGGCGAAGAAGTCTCTGATAATTCACTTGGTCTGGCCTTGTTATGATTGCTTATGCTTTCGAGGTGGTTGAGCATGTGATTTCTTCTTTTGGGCATGTGATTTGATGCCACTAAAGTGAAAATGTTGAGAAATTAGAGCCAATGTGACACTGCCATTCGTCATCGTGTCCTCAATGGGGCCGCCACCGCATTTAAATGAACAGTTGTATGGGTCTCACGGGGACCTCTCTAGGTTTAATGGCGTGTCGACGATCAAAACTATTAGGTCCAAAGGATCGCGTCTAATAAATGACGTGACAGATCGTAAGTAATCAGTTAAATAGGAGAGTCATATCCAATGATCAATAACAACATATCATACGATGCAATATGCTTATTTTGTAAATCAATCTAGTATGCGCTTGTTTCATTGAAAAATTTCATGACAAATGAAAATATTTTCCATGACAAGGAAAATGGTTTAGGGCGTGTTCGTTTGACGGAAAATAAGTGATTTGGAAAATATTTTTCAAAAAATGATTATTTACATCGTTTAGAAAAATTAGTTAACGAGAAAACATTTTCATTATCGATAATAATCTATGCCTAACAATTTTCGTGGACGATGAAAAAATGTTCCATCCGTTTATTTTTCTAAAAGATATAAGTAATCATTTTTTGGAAAATGTTTTCCAAATCACTCATTTTCCTCAAAACGAACACCCCCCTAGCCTTCATTTGTTTGATGGTTTAGTTAAATTGATTTTCTTTTTACCAGAAGGGGAAATCGCTTTCCCCCAATCTAAGCTTGTTATTTTCGGTCCATGGAAAACGATTTCTATGGATCGATTAGTTTTCCATCATCCAAGTACCGGGAATTCGGAAAAATAATTTTTCGAAAATAGAGTTTTTTTTCTTCAAACAAGCGGACCCTTAATAAACATAGCACGTCTCTTTCTTTGATTAGTCTCTATCTTGACTTGGTAAGAAAGATGAGGTATGAAATGGGCTCAAAAGTACTTGATTGTATAATGGTCCATAAGAAAATGAACGTAGGGGAAGGAAAGGTCAGCAGGTCATGCTCGCTTGCGAACCAGCGCAATTAAGTTGGTAGAGACGATTTATTTTCTCGAAGAAAAATATGTTACGAAAGACATAAAATGGATTATTCATCTAACATTCAAACACGACTAGAACTCAAATAAAAATGGATTAATCATGATTTGGTGGTTAGGAAGCTTAATCAGTTTGATTTCTCGTAATCTGGATTGATCAATCAATCAATCATCGCCG